TTAATAAAAGATGTTCCTCTACTCAAAATACCTATAGTTTCTTAAAAGCATTTGAGAGGTTGTCTTCTGACTTTTGGGTGAAAATCGGGGTTTCGGTCGGACGTTCTATAGATTTGTTACAAATCGGCTGTAATTCGGCAGCCGAATAACCCAATTTGGACTAGTGTAGGTCATGTCTATGCATCCATTTATTTAATTCACATATGCTTTACCTCATGTATTACAGGAAAAAGTTATCTATAAGTTATTCTAGAAATTATTAGACTATATCGGATTTTACTCCCATATCAGCTTGTTGCTATTGACTATAAATCTGAAGATCTACATATGTCAAGGCTAATGTGTTAAAGCTCTATCAGTGCCATTATTATATGAAAGGTTCTATTTCTAACTGGAGATGTGTTAAGGGAAAATGTGAAGAGAGAAACTGGAAGTAGTACCTATTAGGTAAATAGAACCCCGGCAAAGAAAATTTTTTTAAATCTGATCATCTGCAGCTAGGTGTACCATTTAATTTTTATCTTTTTAGAGCTACCTAAGAACGTTCAAGGAACTTATCTCACAGACTTACTGCCCATAGATTATTATAGTTTTCAGTACTTACTGCTGTTTTGACTGCCTTCCTGGAATAAGTAACTGTCAGAGCAATCTATTACTGGATTAGAATAAAACCTTTCTAGAAACTTGCAGAAAAAGATACCAGGTATCATAGGGAAACTATTACCAAGCCAACTTACTAAAAGCAGACATCTTATACATCTTGTAACTTTTGACGATCATCATAACACCAATTGGACAATTGTCATGCCACAACACCTTTTCTGGAAATCACAATCCCAACGCCCACTGGATCAGCATGTGAAATGACTTCTTATGGGAAACAGTACTTTTACAGGTTATAGTGTTAGATACCATATTAATTCTATTCAACTACTTTTACATGGGATTGAACTGATATCTTGTGATTTGACCTGTAGAGTGTTAACCACTATACTATTGACCCACAGGTCTTTACATAAAATATAATATATTAAAATTTTAAATAGAATTATTATACAAAATTTTATGTAATTAATAAATAAATAATATGTAATATTTTTTTATATACTCTTTCCATTGATCCCTTTGCCAACACAAAAAACAGACGTTCCAAGGAAATTTTTATATTTCTTTGTAATAAAGTTTACACACTTTTATTAACAACACTCATACCAATAGACCACAGTCTCTCCCACTTGTTTCTTTCTTTCTTTAACATAAACTTCTTATATTTCTGCAAGTAAATATAAGAAATACCTACCTATAAAGTTAAAGGCAAGAAAACTTTGTTAAGAAAAAGGAACTGTAGAAAAAACATACTCTTTTCTTCCTCTAGAAATTTAAGACTCTAGAAATGACTGACACAGTTTTTGAAACTCTTCTCTCATCTTCCTCAAGCTTTCTCCTATTTTTTTAAGCGTGTAAACTTTTTCCTAGTTTTTTCTGGAAAATTTTGCCTACCTTAGTTTGATCCTGAATTTTTGGTTGCACCAGAATTCTTAAATAATGATTGGCTTGAATTTAGGACTAGTTGGTCTACATGTAACAAGAAATATAAACAAGACACGTAACTTCCACATGCCCTATCTCATACAACACAAAACCTGATGATGCAATTGGACAGTGAAAAGAGCAAGGTGACGTGATGCTCTTTTTGTTAAGAAGTGTTATAGTGTTCCCTCATCACCTCTTGGATTGGTTTCTTTTCTCTTCAAGATCAAAAGAAGTCTTATTTTAATTTAGTAACAAGCTTTTTCTATTGTTGATTATCCTGAAAATGGTTGGAGAAAAGGGTTTTGAAATTATTCACTGGTTAAAAGAAGTTATAAATCCTTGGAGATTAGGCTGGAAGAGAAATCACCAATTGAAATAAATTTAAATCATTAAGTCATTATTCATTTTGTTGACATAATTATTGCAACTTATAAATTAAATTTTTAATACCAATCCTCTCTAAAGGTTAGAAGTCTTCGAGCATAAAATTTAAAGAATTACTTTCCTGAAAGTACCCTTAAATGTTCTTGGTTAACAATGAAATAGTAGAAATTAAATGGTTTGCCCAACTGCAGGTGATGGTAAAGGATTTATCCTGATTGATTAAAGTTAATATTGGAGAATTTTTATTTATCAGAACAAACTTTTCTACTACTCTTTCAATTCTTCTTTAATTTCTTAAAAAATAAAAATTTTTTTTTACCTCTTAGGATTAGAGCTTTAAAAAAGTACTGAATTGGTATTGAACTGGTATCGAAATGGTATCGATCTATAGTAAATTTAATATATGGATTGTGACCTACTCATATGTTTTTATAGTAAATTTAAATATCAAAGTGGTATCGAAGTGGTATTGTTAGGAGCCCTACTTAGAACCACAGGGGTGACAGTTTGAATGTAGGCTGGCTATGATTTTTTTAAGACCAAGAAGCAGTCTTGGAAAAGGAGCAATTTTATTATTTCCTACAATCATACTTAGAGAGTTACATAACTCATTGATGAATATTTTGTATTAGACACAGTTTAGCTCTAATATATAGCCTTAGGGCTCAATGTATTATTGTAATATATCTTTAAAGATTAATAAACACAAAGAATGCAGTCTGATTAGAGGAAAAAAAAAATAATATGTAATATTTTTGTTCAAGTAGTATATATATATATAATATAAAGTAAAACAATAAAACAATAAAATTAGTATAAATACATACTCTTTCCTGTTTTTCTCAAATTTTTGAAAAACTTTCCTTTTTAGGAAACTTTAACGAAACATGTCTGAGGTCTTGTCAAGTTATCTTTTTTTCTAAAAAAAAACTTTTTCCCTTCCTTTACCACTATCAAGGATAAAAATTTTCTTCTAAAGAAGTTAACTAGTTGTCCCTTTCGCGATAGCATAAGAGGTTTAGTCTAAATAGAGCTGGATGTTACGGGCGGAAGGTTAAATCCCAGATTTATTGGATGAAAGACTAGCTCTGCTTCTTCAAGACAAAAAGTTATCTCTGCTAATATCGATACAACAAGCCTTACATATCCTAAAGACCTGTTATATATGAGTTAATTTTAAGAGTTTAGTTGTAAAGACTCAAGCTGCATAAGGATAGAACTCTTGGTTAAATTCCTCAAGACTGGGCATCTTGTAGATAAAGGTTGTATAGAAAAAGGTCTTTGGTTTGATATCTTTTTTACTCATATATATAAAAGCACCTTGGTTTCTTTTTTTTTTACAACAAAAACCAAAATCAATTTACCCCTATCAAAAGATTAACATTATATTTCAACCAATCACAACTCACCAAAATTATACTATCGATTATCATAATGACAATAACAACAACAAAAATACTACTATCAATAGCCTATCACGTGTTAATATCAAATAGATAATCTTGAAGAGAACAATAATGTGGACATTAATGTATGTGTATTAAACATGGCAATGCTGACAGCTTACCGAGTATGTAGGAGTTGCGTCCTGTTTGGCAGTTTTTGCCTCTAGATTTGACAGCTTAAGCCAACCGAATCCTTTGGAGTGTCTACTAGGAGATTTTGGAGTTGCGTCCCACTTGGCCTTTGAAGCCCCTAGATTTAGTATTCTGTGTCAACTAAAGAGTACAGTTTCGGAGCATTTACTAGGAAGTACATATTCACGTCAGCCCCCCTCTATTTCCATAGCTGCATGAGCTGAAGTTGTGATGTGAAAAGTTGTTTACTTAATATTAATATGTGTCTAATTTCTTTTTTTTTCTTATTTCTTTTTCCATCTTTCACTAAAATTGCATGGTCTGTCATATAACTATCTAAATAGTATATTAATTTTAAATTTTCTTTTCTAATATAGTTTAGATAGATATTTTGGTAAACTAGCATTTAACTCATGTACTATGAGAGATGTAGGTTCTTTTTCAAAGTTATATCTTAGTATATACATATAATAAAAAACTGATGTTTATCAAAAAAAAAAAAAAAAAAAAATTATTTTTTAAATTTTCGATTAAATAATTTTTTAAGTAAGTTAGTATTTAATTTATTATAAATTATATGTAAAAGATATTATTTTTTAAAAATTTTATATTTTGTAATATACAATTAAATAAAGAAAAAATATTTATTTATTTTTAAAATAATAATAATAAATAATATAATACTATATAAAATTAAAATATATAAATTAATAAAAAAAAAATTATTTTATTTTTTTTTAAAATAAAATAATTAAATTAAAACAATAATATTATTTTGAAAATAGGTTTAAAAAGAATTTTAAAATTATTTATTAATTAAAAAAATTTTTTTTCAAAAAAATCATTAATAAAAATAAAAAATATTTTTTTTTGAAAATAATTTAAATATTTTAAATATAAAAAATTCAAAAAAATCTTTTTAAATAATAAATTAAATAAATAATAATTTTTTTTTTTTATAGTATAGAAAGAATGTTCTTTATATATATTGTTTATTTGTGTTTGTTTTTTTATTGTAGTTTTACGAAAGAAAATAATTTATTTTAAATTTATAAAAATTAAAGAAATTTGTGAAATTGATCCATGTTTTTGATTGGTCGAATTTGAGTGAGTCATCATAAAATTGGGATTTGAATTACGTATACGAATTTGTAATACATTTGTAAATACTATAAATAAAAAGCACATCTATGATTTACAGTTGTTTATTCCTTTCTAAAACTCTCTCCGTGTCTTCTCCAGCAAAGCTTGTTTGTTTTAAGAAAATAGATAATTTTCACTTTACAGTTTTAAGACGAAGAATATGCCCCCAAAGAACCCCGCCGAGAAGAAGCCCGCCGTAACTGGTGGTAAGGCCCCAGCTACTAAAACACCTGCTGATAAAAAAAAGGTGGCCGCTGCTTCTGGTGATAAGGTCAAGAAGAAGAAAACGAGAAAGGAAACATATTCGAGCTACATCTATAAGGTCTTGAAGCAAGTGCATCCTGATACCGGTATTTCGAACAAGGCCATGTCGATCATGAACTCCTTTGTCAATGATATTTTTGAACGTATCGCTGCAGAAGCTTCTAAGCTCGCTGCGTACAATAAAAGATCAACTATCTCGTCCAGGGAAATTCAAACAGCTGTCAGGCTCATCCTTCCTGGCGAGTTGGCGAAGCACGCTGTATCTGAAGGCACTAAAGCTGTTACCAAGTACACTAGCTCCAAGTAAACTCCGCGAAATATTCTATTCATCGGAAGGAGATGAATTTCCTTTAATGGTCTAATGCACCTGCTATACTTGATGATTTTGCAAAAAACTCATTTGAAACATGTTTGCACGCTGATTATAATATATCAGTATATTATTATTCCTCGTTACGTTCTTGTGGTAGATAGTGTTACTATAATCCCATTCATAACACAATACACGATAGTTTGGTATTCTTTTTTCTTTTATTTCACCTCTTTCCTTTTTACGTCTTAAATATACAGCAACGAAATATAATGTTTAATTTCGGGCGTTTTTTTTTTTTTTTTCTTTTTTTCTCTGATTATCAGACCAACAATTGTGAATAAAAAACCATTTGGTCAAGGCAATATAACTATTAGAAGTGGTAAAGTCTTTATTTAATGAATTATTCAGTTAAATTCTTACTTATCTTGGAGAAGCTTGTGATGAGACGAGGCGGCAGACAATAAATTGTCAATGGTAATTTTTGGTAATGCGCCATGACTTTACTATTGATCACTTTAAATTGGATTAATATCTATTCAGTTATAGAGGATTAATAAAAGTTGTTTATACCTAGCAACTCGCGTATCTAATAAATAACTACATCGGCTAATATTTATTTAGCTTTTTGATAAACAATAAAGATTTTTACATTAATGTTGACGTAGTTCGATGTCGTTATTTACGTCATACAATAATCATGTGCAAATAAAATAAAATCATTGGGCGGGTGAGATCTCATTCTTTAGTAAAAACCACATTATACAGTATTACGGAAGATGCTCTGATTGTTAAAATGTTGTGAGTTTTCCTTGTTACTGTATTCCTGAATAATTGCTTATGATGTTTAACAAACTGCGTTATCTATCCGAACGAAATGTGGAAATATAATTTTGCAACTGAACTTTTCTTTTTTCAAGATTTCTTTTCGCTTGTCTTAATCAATACTAATCATATTTAATCTTAAAAAACAGATCGAGCAATACCAAAGAAAAAAATTTTTTTATTTCCATTGAAGAAAGAATGAGTGTGTTCATTATATTATTTCCAGGACAAAATTGGAACGAGGATATTATAAATGTGTATCTAACAAGCAACATAGATTTTTGATTATTAAATTTCTATATAGCGAGATAAATTGGAATTTTATAGTGTTTATATATTTTATTTATATTTGTATTAAATTATACAAATAAATTTATTATGGAGTTTGAAAAACTAGAAATGGTCGATAATTTCAAATTTTATTGTATTTTAATATAAAATCAAACCAATAATTTAACAAGCCACTGTATGGCAGTATTTTAATATAAATTATTTAATATAAATTATATAATAAAATAAAGATTATAAGAAATCTTTTATTTAAAAAATTATAATTATAATAAAAATATTTGTAAAAACTTTTTTATTGATTAATTTTTATAAAAAAAATTTTTTTATAATAACAAATTATTCAATTTCTTTTATTTTAAAATATTTTTCAAAAATATTTTCTTATTAATTAAAAAAAAATTTTTTTTAATAAACATTAATTCTTTTTTTTTTTAATTGGTCAAGAACATTAGATATAAGGTTTTATTGATAATTAATATCTTATCATTATATTAAACATTTTTACAAAATTTTAACTCTTACCTGTTTATTATGATTTTTTGAAAATTTCCTTTTTAAGAAATCTTTATTCAAGAAGTATTTTTCTCTCTTTATTTCCTAAGTCAAACAAGCTTTAAATCCAAAGGATATAAAAATTTTAAGGAACACTATTGCATTGGGATGAGATCTCTGGTCAAGACCTAAGCAAGTTAAAAGTTTTTCTTAGCTTTTAGTTGTATAGGGAAAAGCCCATGGCAACCTTTCTTTAAAATTTTTTGTCTTTAGATATTTTCTCCTTTATGATCATGATAATCACTTTCTCTTTTATTTTTTTCTTTCTATAACACAAATTCAATTTTAATAATATATTCAAATAAAGTTATTGGATCTAATATTTGTCTTAATACAATCATTGAAAATTTATTATTTTTCTTCTTTATTTAAAAACAATAACATGCATTATCTCTTTACTATTCTACAATTTTTTCAAATCTACTTAAAAAATCATAATTAATTTTATTCTATTCAAAGATCTATACTCAACAAATAATCAATAAAATATTTTCACTTCTTAACAACAATATCAAATTTGTTCAAAACTTGTTTATAACCAGTTCCTTAATAAAAATTTTTACACCCAATAACAATAACAATAAAAATAACAAATGATCAACTGATAATCTATTGGATTAGAAGAGAATATGACTTGTGCTTTGCACAAGTTCTGGTAATTTTTATTTAACATATATCCAAACAACACAACAATTAACTGAAGCAGGTTCTAGTTACCCAACTTATATATATTCCAATCACAACACTTTTTTATCAACCACATAACCAATTCATATTATCTCAACAATGAAGTTGCGACCCACAAGCAGCAATGCTATCATTAAAGAAAAAAGGCAATTAAAGCCTAATCAATATAAGTAAAAGTAAAGTACTTTTATTGCGAGTAGAAGTAAAATATCAAGGAGTTGCATTCTATAATCTGACAGCTTAAGCCAATGTTTCTCTACTGCTGCTGGAATTGCACCTAGTTATCAAAAAGAAAGTGATAATCTAGATAGACATATTTATAGTATTGTATATTTTTATTGTCCAAAGATATTTTTAACTGTCCACATTTGTGACCATGTTTGTTCATGTCTTGTGTACCATTTCTATTAAGTTAAAACTTTGTAAATATATGTAAAATTGTCTGAGAAACAATTTTATTTAAGATATTCAAACTAATTTTATTAATAAAATATTATATAATTAATGTTTAAAGTTTATATAACTTGTCCTTGAACTGTTCCAAAATGTCTTATATACAATATTGTGCATTTGGTTTGTGTTCTGTAGGAAAAATTGTTGGTTTAAAAATAATATACTTTTAAATTCTAACACACATTATTACCACATATTCTATTCTCCATAAAACATTTTTTTTTCAACTAGCAAGGCCTTGCCTAACATACTTTATTTAGTTTATATGTGTATTTCTTGTTACAAGACTTACTATCTATAAACTATTCTAGATG